TTTTTTTGGTGTCGTTTTTTGGCGCATATGTTATTCCCCAATTGCACAAGAGGGTAAACATACACAGCAAGTGTCCAGGCCCAAAAAATCGTTACAGTTTTCACATTAGAAGTGATTTAGCCAATCGAAAGCAGATCCTGCCAGCCACCGGGAGGCAGGCTTTACTGCACTCGCAATGTGACAGTGAAGGGGAGAGTTCTGCTTCTGAAGATAATAAACTCAGATAAAACCCTAAGTAACGTCAATATAATGCTTTTCAACCCCTTAAACCGGCCACACTTTTGTCGTTGTAGGTAGGTGTGTGGTGTGAGTGTAGAGAGGCGCTGCTCACCGAAAGCTGGTTGCTGACACAGAAGGACTCCCGAATCTAGGTGAATTGTGGCGTAAAGGAAATAAAAAATAGAGGACTCCGAATGCATCTCTGTCAGGCAAAGCTTCTGTCCAGTCAGTCAGTCAGGGTTAGGTAAAGGTTGAGATAGTTATCATGTGAGGAGAATTTAAATAAAATACAATACATAGCAATGTTTGAACCAACCTTAGTTCATGGGTTTTTTTAAATACAAACGTTTACATATTCCTCACAAGCCACATTTTTAAGGATTGTTCAAGGCAATTCATTCCAGAATGTTCACTTAGTTCAAAGAAGCAACATTGCATAAGTAAAGATAACAACTTTTTTTCACATTATTTGAAGTGAGAAAAGGTTGTGTTGTGAGAGTGCACACAATGTTATTGTTTGACGATAACTGGCCTCTGATCTTAATACTGGTTAGGAGAGGTTAAGTTACATTTCAGTCAATATCATGGTGTGTGACATTAAACAAAGAATTTCTGACTGAGCAGAGGTATGTGTGTCTGTGTGAGGGAGGGTGTGTCTGAGTGTGTGGGGTCAATTAATTGTAAATGTTTAGATGTTCATTGTTTCTGTGTGGTGAGAGAGACTGGCACATAGAGGAAAGAGACTGAGGGAGCACACAGAAAGGAGAAGAGAGAGGTGGGGGGACATACACCCAGCATGTGTGCCTATCTGTATGATGTGGGCTCTTTGCAGTAACGCAGGGAAATTATTGGCTCTCAACCTCTAACTGGTTGGCCACCCCTGCTGTACACCCTAGTGTCCTTCAGGGTAGGGTGGGGAGAGAGCGCTGTACCCCAGCATCCCTTTCCTCAAGGGAGGGGTAGCTGTGCCCCAGCGTCCTTTCCTCAAGGAGGGGGTAGGGTGGGGGAGAGAGGCGCTGTGCCCCAGCGTCCTTTCCTCAAGGTGGGGGTAGGGTGTGTGTGATGTCCTCATCAGGGTCTTCCTCACTGTCATCACTGATGTCACTGTCTTGGTTCTCCACAGAATCATCAGGCCATTGAGGGGCATTTGGTCCGATTGCCAGGCTGTAGGCCGAAGAAAGATGCTGGATGTGTGTGTCCACGTCAGCAAGTCTTTTCTTTAGAAGACTGGCTAATCCATCTCTCCCTTCTTGAGTCATGTCTAGGGCAGAACATAGAGAATAGAATAGTGAAAAGGCATCTCATTTTTGTTACTAGTACACACTGTGGATGTTAAGTAGTATTTGGTTATGGCATCATGGAATTTACCACTATGTCCTCCACATGACACATGTTGCATCTGCATCCTGATCTTGTCAGCCTGACTTCTCAGATAAAGGCAGTGCTGCCTCATCTCCCTCACAATTATGGCCCTCTCCTCCACAAGTCTCCTTTTGCCCATGTAGGCATCAAAGACTTTTTTTTGGGCCAAAATGGACACTGATTCTGAAGAGAGAGGAACAGCAAGCATGCCATTACCGACCAAGACATGCACCAGTAGGATAAGTGACCGGTCATAGTCCATTGACTGGGAAGCTGATGTTATAGGTCTTGCTTAGTGCCAGAAAATAAACATATTATATAAACACAAACAAGAGAAGCTCTTACCATCACTTTGCACTTCCCATGGCCATATTAGACTGTCTGTTGTTTGCTGTTCTGCAGACAGTCTTCTCTCCACCTCTTCTTCCTGGATTTCTCCTTCAGGAGGCTGTCCGGTGTTGTACTGGCGTATTGCCGCTAAGAGTTTGGTCTTTTCCTCCCCTAACCTTTTGCGACGCAACTGCCAAATCTTATTGTTGTCTATATGACGTAATTGTAAAAAGAATTACAGAAACAATGTTCAATGGAATTTTTTAATTACATGACTGCAACTGAATAATAATAACTTACCAGTCTGTCGATAGAGAGGCAAGCTTTCTTTTGGCACAGCCCTAGAAATAGCTGCTCAATGGACATCTGGAGAGACTGATTGTCGCCTGATGTGTTGTCTTGGGTAAATAACAAGAAACACAGTTTGAGGACAAAGAAAACATAGGTGTTAATACTATACGTTAAATAACAATGTTATATTATCAAGTTAGGAAACAGCATACAGTTTGTTGCCCAGTCTCTAACATCATTAACCCATTGTTGGACTTTGTCCTCAGGGCATCCAAGCTCTTCGCAGGTGTCCTTCATTTTTTGAGTCTCACCCTCCAACATTGCGATTGTTTGTTGTAAAAAAGATGTTGCCGATACAGATGTATTTTCAAGATTTTCACCCAAATTTCCATAACTTTTCATGTCTTGAAAACAGTAATTAATCATTCAAACTTTTCCAGACCTGCGCAAGCACTCAGTATCCAACACTTTACCAGCTTGGACAATTATTTGTTTGTGACAAGTTTGCACAAATCTAATCTTGTCATGCCTAGTCTTACAAATCTAATCTTGTCATGCCTATACTTACATGGCCAATTACCTTGACATATCTCTTGGCCAACACGACATGAAGGTTTTCCTGCTTCCGTCTGTTCCATCCCATTGCATGGACAGTCAACATGTCATTGTGAGCTGTTTTTAAAAGTAAAATTGACAAGCAGATAATATAACTTGGGTATTTGGAAATCAACTCATAAAAACTCTAGTACTGTTGAAACAGACTACATCAAAGACAAAGATAAAGTAAAGTAAGAGATGGATAATAACTTCAAGACAGAATTATGTTGGTCTAATGACAAGAGGACATACCTGATTTTGTCATGTACTTAGTTGTGATGGCACAACGTGACAGAAAGCTGTTCACCATCTCCACTTCTTCCCCGGCCGTCGAACCAGCACCCTCCAAATTTCTCCCACTCCACACAATCTAACAAATACACATATATTATATGTCATAGATTAATAAAAAAAAAATCTTACAATCACAATAATATAAGAGTGGGCCTACCTCACACTTTGTGGAATGGGCCTCGGCATGCATGACCAAGAGAAACGGTTGCATGCTCAGCAAAGGTCGCAGTTCTGGCATTGTCTTTGCCACTTTCTCGAGGTAGGGCCAGTATTTACAAGCAATATCTTTGCAATAAAAATGCACGTTTGTAGCTTGAAACTGCGTTTCAAGGAACAAGAGGTAGGCAAATATTTCTCCTCTGAACATGTTGAGAGCTTTCAGTAGCACTCCATGTCTACATACAGCCATCTCTAAACCCTCTTCATCAAGCCTGCTGGCTCTTCTTGCTGTCTCTCGATCAGCTGACCACTGGCTGGTGCCACATGTACCTTTTCCTGGGGTCTACAATTAAAGACATTTTAATGTTACACTCTCAAAACAAGTAAAGGCTAGAAAAATGATAGGAAAAAAAATGTTGTGCTTACACATTTTACATTTGTTCTGACTTTGTCAACAAAGTCTGTGACAGCCGAGTCTTCCATGATGAACGGCCCTTTAAAAAGTGGTTCATCGATCCTAAATTCAATATTCAATTCATTATTATCATCATTGATAGGCTACTTCTTAAATTCAATTGACATACAAAAAAGATGTACCTCTGTGACTGTCGGAAACGGTACTGTTTCCTATTCCCATCCACTGACACAGCCAACATTTTGGGAGTAGAAGCTGGGCATGAGAAGGGTTCCTCACACGTCATTTTCTGGCACTCGTACTGGCAGGCCATATACTCCAGAAAGCTTCTTTGGAGGACATCTCCATGGATTTTTCCTGTCTGGAAGTTTGAGAAGCAAAATTGTTACCTTACACATGTCAGAATAATACGAGGAAACAGGAAGACTTTCACAGTGGTTGGAGGCAAGAGGGGGGCTACTAGGAGTATCCCTAACACACAATATCCTGAAAAGTGAAGGTCAGGTTAGGATTGGAAGATGCTGGAAGAGAAGGAGCATTATTTCAGCTTTTGTCATATGCACCATGACTCTACTTTCTCTACAGTACAGTACAATACAATACATAATCCTATTTTTTCCCACAGAAGAGCACAATGTTTTTCATCATACAAATTGTGTTCTTCAGTAAAGAACAAAAGTTGGATTATGATATGTTTGATCTTATACACTATAACATTCTGTACAGGACATATTGCTCTTTAACTGATGACTGGCTGAGAAGATATTGTAATGTCTCTTTGATGGGAATGTACTGACAGAAACATTCCCTGCCTGCACCATCTGAACCCATGAAGATTTGTTTAGGATCAACATAGTTAAACATTTTTTTAAAGAATGTGTTTTGTTTTGTCAGAAATGCCTCTTGGTCAACAGAATCCTCCGAGGCATCATTTTCATCAACTTCATTTATCAAGCTCTCATTTTGGTCAATGTAGAGCAGTCTTTATAAGGACACACTATCTTTTTTCCATCTCTGATATGCCATGTTAGATGTGTGCATAAACTAGAAAAATCAGGTGATTGAAATGTACATGCATCGACCTGAAATGTCAAATGAATGCCCTCGATGTGTACCTGCTTGTTTTTTTTGTGATTTCTGTATATATGTGATTTAAAAGAAGAAAACTTCTTAAATGTGCAATGGCATTCAGATCAAACGAAAAATGTGCTTCATTTCTATGAAGATTTACATGTCTAGTAAATGCATGTGCTGACTCACTGGAGAAATCGCATTTTTTGCAACTAAATAACATTTTGGATCTTCCAGAAAATGTGGACATTCAGAACCACTATATGCAGTCTTCCAGGGAAACAACCCACTTCGGGTTCATTAACCCACTTTTGTAAAATAACGCAATAACGAATCAGAAAACACTTGACAGACTAATTTTGCAGCTGCTTCGTTTCAGTTCAAAACAACACATACAACCGCTGGCTCACTCTCTTTATCCCAAAATAAAATACGGACTTTTGAGAAAAAAAAACTGCAATAATAACGTGAATAGATCTAAATAATCCGTTAAAGGACACAGCGGTTCTCTCCTCTTGCCCCTGATATGACACCCCAAAGTATTGTACAGTAATAACAAAAGTTACTGTAACATTACGGCACTATTTACAGTATTGCTGTAATGTTGTTGTACATTTTACAGTAACATTACAGTATTGCTGTAATAGTATAGTATGGTTTTACTACATTTCCCGCCTAAGGATCATATTCCCACAATGCAGCAGCACACATAGTGCTGCAATACTGTAATGTTACTGTACATTGTACAGTAACATTACAGTATTGCAGTAATATTACAGTATGGTTTTAAAGTGCTGTATATATTTCCCGCCTAAGGATAATATTCCCACAATGCAGCATAATGTACAGTATTACACTGTATTACAAATTCAAAGTATTAGTAGTAAGTAAGTAAATTACTGTGGGTAATACAGTAATTTACTGCCTAGATTACAGATTTTTTTTACAGTGTAGATTTGAAGATACATGAGTTTCTGACTGCCGCTAGCTGAAGCTTAGTTGCTTGGTTACTAGCTGGGTGTTCTCCGATAAGGGGCCGGGAGGAAACAAAGTTAGTGATTATTACTGGTTCCATGTTGATTTAATTCTATACAAATTGTTTGGGGGAACTGAAAGGCTATTACCGTACTGGTTACTTTGCAGCACGGACATTTCCCCCAAAACATTTAGACGCTATCGCAAAACAGAAGTACCTTTCAAATGCGATCATTTTTAAGACCTTCTAAATTATATTGAAGACCTTTCTTATTTGTTTTGGTCATATTTAAGACCTTTTTAAGGCCTTAAATTCAGATTATCAAATGTTAGACTTTTTAAGACCCCGCGGGAACCCTGTCCTTCACTGTCCTCTATTTACACGTATTGCATGGTAGATGATGTAGATCAGGGATGGGCAAATGGCCACCAGACTCCTAGTTACGTCAGGAGCTGCGTACATGATTTCAAACACAGCGAAATAATCTGTGACGCATTTGTGTATATTGTGTTTGTTTCCTGGGGAAACCCTCACAAGAAATAGCAGCTGTTGTTATGCCTTCTGTAACGTTAAGTTGTAATTATGCCTTTACAAGCTTAAAAGTTGTATTTATCATCTGAATTTGGCGAAACAGGTTTAATATTCTTAAAACCAAGACTTTGTTTATTTGAAATCAGATGAAAACAAACTGTCACGGACCCTGCCGTGTTATCTATGATTATTACGCTTTTCATTCATATTTTCAGCCGGAGGGAGGGGGAGCGGCGCTGAGGAACAGCAGAGTGCGGGCTGACAGATGTCTGTGTTGACATTCCCCTTATTGTGCGTCAGCAGAGACAGGCTACAAGTGTCTTAGCTAGGTTCAAGTTAGACAACTAATGCCTGGGTTAGTGTTCATGACTTGATGTGTATGTCATCTTAATGGTTCATCTCAATGCACAAATATTTTCCGTGCTTTCCAATAGTTTAAAATAGTTTTATTCCACTGTTTAATAACCTGTTCAATACTAACATGCCACTTGTAAAAATGAAATAACTTTTCTGTGAACTGATATTTGTTTAGTGAGCTTATTAGAGGATGTTCCCATTGTTTGGGGATTTTCCCTTTGATTTTAAAATGTCAATGAAGAGGTCAGACTTAGTATATTTGTTAATAATTACATACAACACATGGAATTTTTGTGTGTGTGTGTTCCAAGGATGGTTCCAAGTGAATCTGTGGCCCCCTGGTGGCCAGTACATCAATTATGTGGCCCCCACCACCATCAAAGTTGCCCATCCCTGATGTAGATGCTGCAGATGCACCTCCCTGTCCCTGTTTAAGCCTCCAATTTGCTTTCTCCATCCACAGGTCAACAGCTGGCTTTAGGTGAAATGTCTCTGTGGCCTTTGACAGGTGAATGTGCATCAGGGCTGAGAGACGAACATGTGACAGACAAGATCTGTACTTAGTTTTTATTATGTTTTGGTGGGAGAATCTTTTCTCACAAGCCGCACTGCTCAAAGACAGTGTAATGAAAGAGACAGTTAAATTACCTTGTAATTTGCCAAGTTGAAGGATCGAATACTAAGAAATTATCACATGACTTGAGGGAGTCATATCTGATTTCAAACTATTCAATTAACCCCCTGAGTAAGTTTGTCTTGTCCCTGTCAGCCTCACCATTAGAAAGAGTGTGTGTCCTGCAGTGGCCTTCAGCATCAAGCAGAAGTGTGAACTGTTCAATGGCCACCATGAGTTCATCCTTACATTCCCCAATGGTCAGCATTTCCTTCTGAAACCTAATTGATGTGATTTTCAAAATGTTGCCAATGTCAAGCATGTTGGCCAGAAAACAGTGGAAACACTCAGTGCATTAAGTCACTGTTATCACTTGTAGCCAGTTGCATTTTAATGGCAGGCAATAGTCTTGATATTTTTAACAGGTTTCATGCTGACCATCTGATATTGTGAAACTTTCCCAGTTTAACAAAGGGGATCCCATTTTGATGACAACATTTCTTTACCTTTTTGTAAAAAAAACTGCAGCAGCTTGACCACAGATCAATTAAAAGTCTCACAGTAAGGAAGGTTGCGATCATCTGATTTTTCACAGTTCTCTCATGTGTGCGTGGTGCACTGAATGTGCACAAGGGAGTCTCCCACTGCAGCCAGTTGGCGTAGTTTTGGCACAATTGTTGTACACACAGATGTTTACAGCAACCCCATCTGTGCACACGGCGACCAGTGATCTAAGCCCGACTCCTGGAAAAGCACCACAAGTCTGTCTGTTATTGACCAGAGGCTGCGGACCAGGAGGGTGAAGAGGCAGTTAGAGTGATGGGTGGAGTCGCCAACAATGCTGAGTGCTTTGCCGGTGAGGCAGAGGTTATAAAGGTCCTGGAGTGACGGGAGTGAGGCACCAATGATCCTCTCCGCAGTGTTCACTATGCACAGGGTCTTGCGGTTGGATGATGCGCAGCTTCCAAACCACACATTGATGCAGCTGCTGAGGATGCTCTCGATGGTGCATCGGTAGAAGGTGTGCATGATTGGTGTGGGGGCTCCTGCTCTCTTCAGTTTGCGGAAGAAGTCGCTGCCGGGCTTTCTTGGCCAGTGAGGTGGTGTTGGTCGTCCATTAGAGGTCCTCGCTGATGTCCACCCCCAGGAATTTGGTGCCGCTCACCTGCTCCACAGCAGCACCATATTGAAGGTCAGTGGGTTGGGGTGATGGGTGTAGGTTCTCCTGAAGTCGACAACAATCTTCTTTGTTTTCCCCACGTTGAGAAATATATTGTTATGTTTGCTCCACGTGGCCAGTTGGTTCACCTCCCTCCTGTAGTGGGTCTCATCGTTGTTGCTGAGGAGACCACAGTTGTGTCATCCACAAACTTGATGAAGTGGTTGGAGCTGTGGGTCATCCGTGGGGGGGGCCCCGTATTCAGTGTTAGTTTACAAACCAGCTGCTGGGGGATGATAGTGTTGAACGCTGAGCTAAAGTCAATTAAAAGCATCCTAACATAAGAGTTATTAGTGTCCGGGTGGGTGAGGGCTGGGTGGTCAGCAGAGGAGATTGCATCCTCAGTGGACCGCTTCGCTCGGTATGCAAACTGAAACAGGTCCAGGGAGCGGGGGAGGTTGGATTTATTTTGCTTCATGACTAGCCTCTCGATGCACTTCATGGAGGACAGCACTACAAGGCGGTAATCATTGAAGCAGTCTCAGTCAGCAATGCATTTTAAAAAGTAGAACTAGAATTCTTCACCAGAATGGCCCTGTTGAAAACCTATTGATTTGTGTAGAGTAAAATAAACATACCTTTGTTTTAGTTCCAAAATGAAAAGGTCAACACTAACAGCCATACATGTCATTGTTTACTGTACTTAGCGGTTGATTGGAGTGAGTCAGCACTTGGATCCTTGTTTCTACACGGACCACTATTGCGGTAAGCATGTTGTAACTTCCGGTTGTTGTTGTCATCTCCGGGTATCCCGTGTGCCTGTTCTGTTGCTGATAGCTTATTATCTTAACTTAATCGATCGTTTTAAAACTCTTGATCACGGCAACTGCCTGACGTTGTAATCACACGTTACTACAGCTTAAGCACTCACAAACTCTCCTTCTCTTAGCGACTGTAACTCCACAGTTGCCTACAGTCTTTTCGGGT